ATGACAATGGCGGTAAGACCATATGGTGGTAGATATTTGGACATTGTTTGTAGGGTTCAAAACTAACAAGCTGTATATCACAAGCATGCTATGAGGGCAAAGGGGAGATTGAGTTTTTAATTAGTCTTTCTAACGTACGTTCAGGCTTTACGTCAGCTGAGGCAGATAGCGCATGAGGTTTCCCAATCTAATGTCACAGGTTGGGGAAGACGCCCTGCAGCTCTACGAGCATTAAGCCAAAGGCTTAGCAGGTTGGTATATAATGGTGGTTTCAATATATATTTGTCAGTTGGAGAAGGGTTCTTTGCTACTTGGAAGCTAATGGAGTTTTCTTCCAGGGGTTTTAATGAGGCACTTAATGGATTTACTGATGAGGGGTGGTCATTGATGGGAAATGATGGCATGGATGATGTTACTATCCTCATAAACTCGTCTCCTGACAAGTTAATGGGCTTAAACCTGTCCTTTGGTAATGGATTTCCAGCTGTCAGTAATTCCGTCTTATGTGCTAAAGCATCAATGCTGTTACAGGTTAGGTTGCTTCCCATCTTTCATTTCAATCAACTGGAGATTAGCAATAAACGTTAAGATATGCATGCATGTTATTTTCGTTATTTGTATGATGGTGACCTTTCAAATGGACGACGACGACAACAAAGCCTTTTCCCACTAAGTGGGGTCGGCTATGTGAATCCTAGAACGCCATTGCTTCGTTCTGGATTCATTTTCATAATGACCTTTCAAATGGACAATGACGAAAATTTTCATATTGAGCTCATCTTCTCAAACCTTCCTGGTTTGTTGTCTACTATTTCTCCCAGAATGTACCCCCTGCTATACTTCTTCGGTTCCTGCGTGAGCACAGATCAGAATGGGCAGACAACAATATTGATGCTTACTCAGCTGCAGCTGTTAAAGTCGGGCCTTGTAGCTTAGCTGGGTCTCGAGTTGGAACTTTCGGAGGTCAAGTTATACTTCCCCTGGCCCACACTCTTGAGCATGAAGAGGTAAGCAAGTTGACGTCTAGGAACTTACCGCATTTAAAAAGTCTTGTTTTACAATGGTTTATAACTTCATAAAACACACCCCCCCCCCCCCCCAAAAATATATATATAGAACTCTATATTGTTCTCTAATTGTTTAATACGTTTTTTTTTTTTTTTTTTTTTGCACTTATTAGTTCTTGGAAGTCATTAAATTGGAAGGTGTTGGCCATTCTCTCGAAGATGCAATGATGCCGAGAGAAATGTTTCTTTTGCAAGTAAGTGTCAGTTATTCTAATTGTGTTAATGATGGTATTTATTCATAGGTTAACTTGGACTGTCAAAGCCTAATAACAGACTAATTCTTAACCTAATAGACTTCTTGCACATTGGGAGTGCACGATATATATTATGTTCCTTTAGGATTTTTTTCTTTACGTGTATTTTTTAATCTCAAACATGTTTGGTGCCTATCAAAGTATCCTGTGAATCTGTGATAAAGTATTTAGGGAAAGAAAGACGAGAGAGCAGAAAACTTGGACAAGTGATATGGATAAGTAGTTGCATCCAGTTTCTATTCTTTTTTTTTTTTGTTGACTTGAAATCCATTTTCTTTCAATGTGTTTTTTTTTTTTTTGGCTAATCAATTGGTTCTCTTTAGCCGACCCCACTTAGTGGGAAAAGGCTTTGTTGTTGTTGTAACCAATTGGTTCTCTTGCTTAATTTCCATTTTATTTTAATAGCTGTGCAGTGGAATGGATGAGAATGCTGTGGGTTCCTGTGCTGAACTCATTTTCGCTCCCATTGATGCTTCTTTTGCTGATGATGCACCTCTTCTACCGTCTGGTTTTCGCATCATTCCTCTTGATTATGGGAAGGTTAGCCTCAAAACTAAATCCCATTCCTAAGTGATGTTATCTGTCAGAATTTATACCGCACTACATCTTTTATGGAAATGTTCAATAGTGCTCTGAAAAATGTTTCAGGAATCTGCCAGTCCAAATCGCACCTTGGACCTTGCTTCTGCTCTTGAAATTGGGCCAACTGGAAATAAAGGATCTGGTGAATATTCTGCAAATGCGGGTTGTGTAAGATCTGTGATGACTATAGCATTTGAATTTGCTTGTGAGAGCCACATGCAAGAGCATGTAGCATCCATGGCCCGGCAATATGTTCGCAGCATTATATCGTCAGTTCAGAGGGTGGCATTAGCTCTCTCTCCTTCACATTTGAGTTCACAGGCTGGTCTTCGGTCACCACTTGGTACTCCTGAAGCGCAAACACTTGCTCGTTGGATCTGTAACAGTTACAGGTTTTATATCTCTCTCTCTCTCTCTCTTCCCCTTTTTATTTAGACTAAAATATATGATGCACTGTGCAACAATAAAAAATGGGTTTTTCGGCACACCCGCAACATGTTATCTATTCTTTCTTCTGTTGCAATGAACGTTACAAATTGGAATAAGAAACTTTGATCTGTGAAACCATGCGATGATCATATAGGTGGCTTAGCTTGTAATACTATTGATATTGCAGGTGCTATTTGGGTGTGGAGCTGCTCAAATCTGGCAATGAAAGAAGTGAATCCATCCTCAAATCCTTGTGGCATCACTCGGATGCAATTATGTGCTGCTCTCTGAAGGTGAGCATGTTACACAACCTCGAAAAATCAACCAATACAACACTTAAGAGCAACTTCACCCATGGAGCTCTCCCCTGGCAATCCACTATTCAATCCACCCTATTGAACAGTAACTGCCTTAAATGAATAGTAATTACCATTAATGAACAGTAATTGCCATTTACATTTCCACCCTTGGAACCCTCCCCCGGGCAATAAGCAATAAAAATAATAGTTTTTTATGTTTGTTTAAATAATAAAAAATTACAAAAGCTATCTCTCTCTCTCTTTGACACAAAAAAAATAAAAAAATACAAAACCCTCGGGCCACAGGCCCGTCGACTCCCCACCCCCCCCTTCGCTCGACCTCCCACCCTCACTCGGGCCCTTCCCCGCTGGATTTGCTCCCACCGGCCCGAGGGCCCTTTCTCCTCGCCTGACACCCGAGCAACCAGCAAGGCTGGAGTTGCTCTAATGAAGGTGCATCATTCTTTGAGTTGTTATCTTGCCTACGTATTCTAATATGCTATGGAACTCCCCTTTTGCAGGCATTGCCAGTTTTCACCTTTGCAAACCAGGCAGGGCTCGACATGCTGGAGACCACCTTGGTTGCGCTCCAAGACATAACTTTGGAAAAGATATTTGATGACCATGGACGAAAGACTCTATGCTCGGAATTCCCCCAAATAATGCAACAGGTGTAGTAGAACATCTCTGAATCATATACTTTTCTTTCATGTCATTTTTAACTAACATGCTATGGTGCTAAAGACGAGCTATGGTTCAACACCCCAATGCGTTGTTTGAATCCATATAAAGATCGAATTGCTAAAACACGATATTCGTAGGGTTGTAAGCTTTTGTAGTGATTTCATTGTGCTACTTTTGTAGGGTTTCACATGTCTTCCAGGTGGCATCTGTCTTTCGAGCATGGGGCGACCGGTGTCATATGAGAGAGCGGTGGCTTGGAAGGTGTTGAACGAAGAGGAGACGGCTCACTGCATGTGTTTCTTGTTTGTAAACTGGTCTTTCGTCTGATATCGGGACCAGGTCACAAAGACTAGAAGACATAATATGATAGGCTTGAGTAGAGGAGACTTTGAACCCTTCATGTTTAAACCATCTCTTCTGTCCTTTTGATGTGATAAAATGCTGTATGGATGTTATGACTTAAGTTTTGTTAGATTCTTGTTGCGTACTCTATAACTGCTTTGGATCTGTTCAATTTATTTTCCAGTTTTTATTTTTTTCGGGTGGTTTTGGAAAGGAGTATTGGATTTAGGCATGTTAATGCTGTCCTCCCCAAGAAAATGAGGATTGCATTCCTAAGTTATCCAACTATGTTGGTTGGAACAAACAAAATTATTTATACTAAAGAGGAGGGGTGGGTTTAATCTCATAATGGCTAGTAATAATGTGATTCGAGTTCGTCTTTAATGAGAATTGAATTTAAGATCTCATTTACAAGTAAAAAGAAATATTACTAGAATGCAATACTAAGTAGCTGGTCGATTATATTGTTAAATTGGGAAAAAAAATAAATGAAAGTTGCACGAAAAACCGTTTGCTTTATAGTTCACATTTTATAATGTAACTTTTTGAAAAATCAATCAAGTAAACAATTAAAAAAAAATATTATTAAACTGCAATACTAAGTGGTGGTCCGATTATATTGTTAAATTAGGAAAATAATAAATGAGAGTTGCACGAAAAATCGTTTGCATTATAGTTCACATTTTATAACTTAACTTTTTGATAAATCAATCAAATAAATAATTGTTTACTTTTCGGTAAACGTTGCCAAGATTTTGATGTTTAACTGAATAAGTGTTGATCTTATAATAGGCCTCGGCCATAGAGCAAGTGGGCCGAGGATTTGGGGATCTTTGTCCCTCTGATGTGCGGGCGTGCCAACTCTCGGCCTAGGGGATGGGAGAGTAAATATTTTGATTGCACATGAATCATTTTTCTTTCAGGGCAATTGAGGTTTGAACGTGTGTCGGTCGAGGGTTCTATGTGTCTCATGTGGAAGAACTTTGATTGGCTTTTTAGTGTTCAACTATGGGCCTTGTAACGTGATGTGTGAATTCAAATGTCTTCGTGATGGATGAGCAATCGTTAGTATACTTGCATGTGATGATTATGATGAATGTGTAATGGATTTGGTTTTTTTAGTAGTGCAATAAATGACGTGAGTGTGCATGGTAAATCGCATTAATCCGAACGAACTCTGCATGACGATGGAATTGATAGAGAGCTAACATCTAAATTAAAGTGCAAAATAAAAAGGTAAAAGTGAGAACAAGCAAGTGACAAATTGAAGTGCAGGGAATGAAATTAAATTTATAATACTAAATTGAAGTACTGGATACAAGTAAAATGAAACAATGCGAAAATTGAAATTGAAGAAACCATAAAAAAATATAATTTCAACCTAGTGTCGAATGGACAGTTAGAACGATAGAGTGCAAAAGTGTGGTTGGTGCAGGACCTTGAACAATGATTTACACGGTCCTTTTTATGCTATTTGAGAGCATCCATTCTTAATGTCTCCCCTTATTTACCTCCCCAGCCTTGATTTCTTTTCAAGTGGTTACAAAATTCAAAACACATTTCTCTCAATGGCAATTCTGATGTCTTTTTCTTTAGAATTAAATACTTGAAATTCTCCGAGTTTTTAGTGTCACTCTAAATTGGTCTCAACATTTTTAAACATTCCAAACAAGTACTCATCTTATTGAAAATGTCACATGCATTAAGCCTAGTTAAAAATCTGTTAAATTAACTAGGTTACTTTGTCTCCAAAATCAATAGAAAGTTATGGAAGCATACCCTCCACCAACTAATGACACTCCACCCTCAACATGCCATCACCTCCAAACCCAACGTAAAACCACAAACTCCACCCTTACTCAAGCTGCTAACATCAAGAAGAAGGTCATGAAGATTGCTAAAATGGTATGGACTGCCATGATACAGCCACTACCATCTTCACCACCCGCCCATAAAGAAGAACTGGAAACTTTACAAGATGAGAATCGGCGAATGAGGAAATCACATGAGCAGAAACAAACTCGTTGAAATCCTATCTGACTTTTTAACCCTATTCTTTGTTAGGAGATTGCCATTCTTATATAATTTCAAATCATTGGTTCCATATAATATAAACTATGTTTGAAATTTTTGATATTGAGGCAACTAATATTAATGTTGACCATGATATACCGAGTTTGTGGTTTTTGAATATATATGATCTATGTTTGGAAAATTAACTGGGGCGGATGTGACATTTTCATATGTTGGATACTTGTTTGGAATGTTTAAAAAGGTTAAGACCATTTCACACGTACTCTCAGAGTATAAGTAAAGTACAACAGAGTGGATTGAGAATTATACCATCGAAGGTAGTCTCCAATACCAGATTTGCCAAGAATCCTTGTCGATACGAAAGTTCAACTGCTAAAACCTGAAGGGGTGAAAAACAATGGTGAGTGAGCCTAAAAATAAAGTTTTATAAAAACCTTTTGAAAACATTATAACCCCTCGCCATAAAACAAGTATAGTTTTCAAATATACATACTACGTATAGTATGAAAATACTTACCGTAGCCTGCAATAGCTCAAAAATTCAATACGGCACAATATTTCGTAAGTAAAAACATCACATCTGTAACCGCATAATCTTGCATAAGCAAACAGATCATATCAAATGCTCATCGACACATGCTGGCACACGAGTTCATGCAGAGATATTTTGACATAAACATAATTGTGTGTAATAATGATATACGCTTTAGTACTACAATCATGTGAAGACTGGCGTTATGTGCATCACATACAAGTCCTAATTGCCTATAACAATCTAGATCAGGAATGTCATCTACAATGGATCCAAAGTGAGCGTAAGGTGCGATGTGCACATACACGTGAAAGACTGGCCCTGACTCGAGTAAGGACTAACATCGGTGCAGCAACGATGAGTAGATAACGTAAATATGATCACACAACAGTAAATCGATAATTCACATTGACATAATGGTAATAAATAAAATATTAATCATGACCGTAATTAAAATCCCATAAAAGTATGCGTACCTGTGCATCCTGTAAGATTTATGATAATTTCGTAATTTTATGTTATTTCGTTTATTCTGGAACAGCCGAAGTCTCCGATAGTAATCGCACCTAAGCATAATATTGAAACACATTAGTAAAACTCAATTAAAACGTTTGAATTTGGAGAAACGGACGGTTGATCCGGAATCAGCGCGTCTAAATATGCTAAGGAGGATCCCGGGCAATTTTCGTAAGAAGTCAACGAAAAGTAAGCTGAGATGCCCCAGTGGTCAACTATGTTAAAATTTCGGAATTTCACTAAATGAATGTCAAAAACGGACTCAAGACGTCGTTATTAGTCTAGGAGGGTTTCCAAGAAATTTCCGAAAAATCAACACAAGGAATATTCTTTGAATATTCCTGAATATTCCGAATCCAATTCGTAAATGGGCTGGTTGGGCTAAAGATTTGGGCCAAGGATTTTGGACCGGGTTTTGGGCCTAAGGCCCTTGTTTTTTTTTTAATTTTTAAATTTTTTTATCCTCCTCTTCTTCTTCCTCTTCGGCTGGTTGCCGTTGCAATCGTCGGAATCTGGAAAATGTAGACCAACTAAAACTTCATTAAACCTTGCCATGTCATATACCAAAACGAAGATCAAAGAACAAGGATTTCAAATATACCTTTGGTTTCATCGGCCGTGGCCGGAGTTGGCCTGAAAACGGCTCGAAAACCGCCGGCTCTCTCTCCAGAAAACTGGGTTGGAGTTCCCCGAGTAGTTTTTGTCACCAAACCCTACAACAAAGGCCTAAAACCTTAAAATCTTTCAAAACGACGAAAAAGGACGAGAGATGGGAGTTCCCGAGACCTACCTTGGTCGGAAAATAGTGGTGACTTGCCGGGAACCATGGAGATCGAGGTCCGGGTTCGTGATTGCAGCTTGAGGTCTGAGTATACGGTTTTACAGCCAAGCAACGAGGTAGGCTTCGGGTTTGTGGCGGTAATGCTTGTTGTAGAGAGCGGTGGTGGTCCAGTGAGTTTCACGGAGAAAGGGAAAAAGAGAGGCTTGAAGGAAGAGATGGCTGAGAGAGAGAGAGAGAGAGAGAGAGAGAGAGAGAGAGAGGTGAAGAGAGGGCTGAGAGAGAGAATCACGGCAGTCGACGGTGGCCCATGATTAGTCCTGATGGTGGTGCTCGTCGTTCCGACGAGATGGGTGTAGTATGGTCTCTGCTTTTGCAGAGAGAGAGAAAGAGATAGTGTGAAGAGAGAGAGATGACTAATCAGAGATGGGCGAAAAGAGTGGGAGACACGGAAGAGAGGGAAGAGTATGGGGTGTGGGCCCCACGGGCGAAAATAAATTATTAAAATATTTAAATTATCAAATAAAAAAATAATAAAATAATAACATAACAATATAATAATTTCAAAAAAAAGTATAAAATATAAAATAATAATTTTTTTTTTCACAAAAGTATTTCTCAGATTCGTAATTCTGTAAAATCTTCATCGTAACTTCAATTTTGATTCCGCTTTCTCAACAACTATTTTATTGTCTTTTTGTTGCCGAGTTTACAAAAACCAATTTCAATTATTTATTTATTTATTTTCGTTATTTCAATTCACTATTTCAAAGCTTTTTCAAAACTTGTATTGAATAGTTAGTTAAGAATACATTTTAAATTCAAGTTATTCATATCAATTCTTGTGAAGAATGACTTTGCTTGAGCAATTTATACTACAATTATTTTGTTCTTTTGTAAGTATTTTTAAGTGTTTTTATCTCTACTTTTGCAGGTGATAAAAATTCTGTTATTAACCAGTAGAATTTATTGCAATAGGAAGTTGTAAAAGGGAACAATGAAACCGCTTACATTCAAATTAATCTTCTTGAAGCAATGGAAACTATAGAACTCAACCATGTTAGAACTATTTTGACAAAAAAAACCATGGTAGAATATTTCCAAGCCAATCATGTTCAAGGAAGAAATAAAAATTTGCTCGGTTAATATTTTCTTTGAACTAGTACAAACTGAATTAATATTTTTTTGTGGATTGATTAATGTATATTCAAAAACAAAATCCCAAAGAGAAAAAATTGAGACATGCATCATGTTATAGAATAAAACATCATCATTTACGGCTTTTCTAGTCTTCACTTGTTTGGCATGCTGCTTTACCAATAGTGATTTTCATTTTTTGCATTTAGATTTCTTGATCACATTTTTTTACCTAACCTTTTGGATTATCCTGTTTGTTTTGCAACTTATCTTGCAGGTTCTTACCTTTTAGGTTTTATTTTAGAGGGTTTGGTTCTATGTCCTCCCCTCTTTTTATTGTACTTTCTTTTTCAAGAGGGGTAAAATTATGTCCCCCTCTTTTTCTTATTTTTTCTTTTTCAAGAAGAGTAAGGTTTATGTCCCTCTTCCCTCTTCTTATCATGTACTTAGGTTTTTTTGCTTTAAAAGGGGTAAGGTTTATGTCCTTCTAACTCAGCTTAACTTTTTTTTCTTCATATCAATAAAATTTTCTCGTACCAAATTAAAAAAAAAAAAAAAAATAATCTAGTACCTTTTCAGAAAAAGGGCAATATTTGTTAATTTATGCTGATGAAGAAAAAAAATAAAATAAAAAATAAACAAACTAGAAATTTTAAAAAATGTTATTTTGGTACACTACCCCACATCCTTTCCCCTCTACCGTTCCACCAATAAACTCACGGGAACTTTAACAAAAAGCACCCGGTACTGTTCACTTTAACGAAAAACCACATTTTTACACTAAAAAGTCAATCCTGGTACTATTCACTTCACCCTTTATTTTGTCCTTATCATTAAAACTCAAAGTTTTCAAGCCCTTTTCATTAGTTTTCCTTAAACACTCTATTGCCAGCGCGCATGGACCATTTACAGAAAACAAATTTTCAAATGAACCTAATTTCGCTGCACTATGATTAAAAGTATTGATAGCTATTTGTGATACTTTCTTCAGTGTTCTTGCAGTCCATTGATAAGAGAAAACATAAACCAAATATATTATCCAGAAGAATATAACACCCGATTATTATTGAAACCACGCATATATATTTAAATTACATGGGTTCCGATACATATAGCTAGAATGAAAATTAGATAAAGAGACTTGAGATTGGATTCAAATCGAGGATCGATATCGTAGTAGCTCTTCACAGAAACTAACAATTAACCCTTCTTATTTATACAGAAATAGCAAATGATTAATCTCACTGCAGATAAGCTTAGCGAACTAAAGAAAAAGGAAAATCAAACCCTAGGGGAGAAGGGCAGTGATGGAGCATTTAGTACTAATAAACCCCAAAAACCCCATAGGTAAGCATAAGTACATGCATGGCTTTGAAGTAGGAAAACTAAATACCACCGAAAGAAAACCCAAGAGGGTGACTGAAAGAAGGAAAGGGTTAAGAAGACAATCCAGTAGACACTGAAGATGCCCCAATGATAGCTAGGAGGGTTTGGACTAACCCAAAAAACCAAGAAGGAAAAAGGTCGGTCCATTAGCTAGGTAACCGGTACATGTTGTGAGTCAAGATGATTAGAAGAGAAACCCTAATAGGGATTGAGAAGGTTAATTTGGAAGCTATACGAGTTAATGATTAGCATATAAAAAGGGGAGAGCAGGTTGACAAATACGAAACCATGTCCCCTAGATCATGATCAGATATTATATGCCTAGCCTTCAAGCCATGGAGAGATCGTTCATCTCCCTCGTAATCGCTGGAATGCAGCTTGAACTCCGAGCAATCTTCCCCTTTGGCCCTCCTTTGTCTTTCGGACTAATTGACTTAGCCCTCATGCCCGTCCCGTCTGACTTACTCTTCTTGAACATCTCCCTCATAGCCTCAGCTTGAAACAAAACCGGATACGCCCTACTATACTTGTTAAACCTAACACATGCACTTATATGTGAATTCAAAGCCTCTTCTTTATTTCCTCCATTTTTCTCAACCTCTTCTTTCACTGCCTCAGAACACAACCCGCATATCCACTTCCCCAAGAACTTGTCTCTCACTCGGTCTATGTACTCGGGCGTGCACTCTTCACTCATGCCACAACATTCACACTTTGCATCTTCCACCTCAGATATTGGCGGAAGGGATTTCAGATCCTGATCAATTTTGACTTCTTTGATGAGCTCGTAAGAGATGTCGGATATTGTTCTTTTAAGGCTATCTGCTGAGGATGAAAGCGTTGGTGGCTTACACTTGGAGATGTTGTTGGCCCTAGAGCCAGAAATAAACTCTCCAGGAGGTGCCATGTTTGAAAATTTTGGAGAATACAAAAAAACCCTAACGTAGGACTTAAGCTAATTGGATTGAGTGGCAATGGGAAGCAAGAGTTAGTTAACTTGGCCAAATAACTCTGAAGATTGTCACATGGTAGTAGAAGGAGGTCTATAGTAGCCTATTTATAGTAGTCAGTTTGGCCCTCCAGCCATTATTTATTTGAATGGATATTGTTCAATCATTTGTCACTTATCAACGGAAGGGGTGAATAGTTTCGTGACCGTGCTAGATTTTTCAAGAAAGTTTTGAAAGAAAAGGAAATATGTTTTGCTTTTTTAGGTTTGAAATAAATGCTAGCTGAAACTTGCTACAGAACTTTCATGGAGTTTTATTATTCTTTTTCCAATTGATCATGTGGTGGAGGATGTTCTGGCTTCATGAAAAGGTCGCATATTTATTTTTCTTTTGAAGGATATAGTATGAAAGGCTGTGGCACTTTCTATACCCCATGACTCTATGTTTGGGTATTAAACATTTACTAAGTGGGAATGCCATACGTTAATCTTTTGTGTTGTTGGAGAGAAATAATATGAATTCACATTCAAACCGTCTTTATTTGACAAAATTAAAGTGAAGTATCTCAAATTTTGAAAGCATTGACTATATATCAAAGTAACAGCAACGGAAAATATAAAAACTTGAAGCGATTGACTTGATATGCTTTATATATGTAAAATTAGAGCAAAACACCGATGAACTGTTTCGAAACAAGCGCCAAATAGACATGAACATGAAGTCTTATACAATAGTATAGCTAGCCTAACGAACTGTATAGATTTTAAAAATAACTCATATACACCTTTTATAATTGGTAATTTCCATAATATATTTACACGTTATTTTTCTGAAAAAGGAAAAGTTCAACGTACGTAGCCTTTTCATTATGTATAAAAAGGTCCGAAAAGAACGAAGTGCTGTTTGGTTTATAGCTTGAAATCCATTGTCTTTTGCTTTGAACAATTATTTTGCCCTTGTAAAAGGCTGCAAATTGCATATTCACGTGTGAGCCTACTCAAACCGTATACAGATAATGAGTGGTCCATATATCTTCGACAATACTAGCAGCAAGCAAGGCCAACATGAAAGAAAAGGACTGCCTTTCTCACTCATGGGTTCTCTCCCACAGCCACAACTCTAATTTCACGAGCAGTTTAATCAACCATATCCCTATATGCACGAGAGAGGGAGAGAGAGGGAGGGAGTTGATAGGATTTTTACTATCTACAAAATAGGGATAAAATCACTTAAAAATATTTGCAAGAGTACAAGGTTGTCATAGTATAGCGGCTCAAGCATGGTCGTTTTCCACAGAGATTGAATGAATAATTTGTATTTAAACTAATCCTTAGCTAATTATTTAGAACAAAGTTGTGAAAAGTATGATTTTGGAATTTAAAATAATAAAAACGAATTTAAATAAAAATAATTAAATATTTGACTAAGTAAAGAAAACAAAAGAAATACGTTTTGAAAGCCAAATTGTAAAAGCCTTCCGCCGTTATCAAAACAATCCTATGCAATTTTACCAATTACTTATGAATTTCTACCTACATGCTTTCAAGGTTAGGTTTTCCTAATGCATATTTTCCTCGTGATGTTCAAGCGAAAATGTATATCTAACATGCAATCCTTCTGTAATGTTCAAATCAAATATAAACATGTAAGACTCATTAAGCTTTGTGAAAACCCTTTGAAAAACCATGCAAAGTGATGTTCGCCTTAAGTGAACTTACAATTACTAATCACAAGAAGCCCTCCTCAATTTTAGGGTGATGTTCCAACAGAAATTGCATCAAATTACTTGTCTAAAAATCCTAATGGTCGCGAATCACTAAGACAATTAGATAGTTTTAATTGCGGTGATTAATAATTCAAAGCAAGCATGCATCCATTCATAAGCAAATTAATAAAATCACATATTCTTACTAAGGCTCATGGCATCGCCCTTACGAATAATCATAAAACAAAATATTATTGAGAATAAGGATAGAAAACACCTAGAAAATAAACTTGAAAAACTCTCTAAAGTGTGCGTGTGTTTCCTCCTCTCCTTCCCATTTTTTAACCCTAACGGCTAAAAAGTCTTATTTATACTACTACAAAATAAAACCCTAAAAGGTCTTAGAATAAAACTAGGAAACATAATAAAATAATAAAACAAAAAATAAAAGGTTTCCTATTTGAACTAAAATTCGGATTTCTCAGAAAATCAAACTTTTGACCGACCATATCAACTCCGATTTGGTCCCAAAATGTCTCTTTTGTAAGCTTAGGTCGTCCCCTACAAATCCTTAAAAGGAATCTTCCTCAAAATATTCCATCTTGACCTTCAAAATGCCCAAAACATCCAGAAACATCAATCTGGGAAAACTGCACGCTGGGCCTTTATTTCATCGTCACGGTCAAACAGCTTGGTAGAAAAATCTGAAACTTTGATACAATCATCTTCAAAGACTCACGAACATCCTTCAATTGGAATCACTCCAAAATTCATCCGTTTGATCACTTTTTGCTCCAAAGGAAGTCAAATGTCCTACATTGAAAATACATAACAAAATATCAAAATTCTACCAAAATAACTAACAAATTAATGCTAAGATTAGGGTAAAATATATAGTATAATATCGACTCATCAGGAGTGGGTGAGAGATTGGTGGCGTTATGGTATATAACAAAAAAGTAATGCTAAGGAGACCAAATTTGTAAACCACATAATTGGATAATTACTTAAGTGTTGATTAACATATTTATTTCACATTGATTACACATCATTTAGTTTGCAAATTTGGTTTAGAATTTTGATCTCCCTAACATTATTCATAACAAAAACCTAAATTACCAACCAAAGCAACAGTAGTCTAAGCTCATTGTAAAATGGCTGCTTTAAGTATGTGGGTTTCATAGGTAGATGACAATAATTAAGAACTTCGATTCTCTGTTTTCTTAAGATTATTTAGTTCTTAAGTTGACTGTGTACCATATCAATCCAACAGTTTTATAAAAAAAATTCAAAAAAACAGAAGATAACTCAAAAAATTGTAATTCAAAACTCTAACAGTGTAAAAATAAGAACATAAACCCCTAACTTTTGATGGATTTGGCTGGGTAGAGATTGGTACTTGTAAAACCACTTTTGGTGAGCACACTCTTCCGATAAATAGATCATAATATTGGATGAGACGGTCATCATGTGATTTACAATGCAAAAATATGATAAATGTTATAAACTTTGTATTTAAGTGTGATTGTGTAAATCCTAGATTAGATTTGATACTAGTTATTATTTCCTATTAGGACTTGTATTCCTAGGAGGAGAATGATTCTTCCCTCCCTTATTACTATAAACAAAGGCATTGCGTACGGGAATAACACATCCTCTACACAACTCTACAAACACATCCCTCTCCCTATTCTCTCTTTGTGCTACCGACCCCCTCCCCTTATCAATTAAATATAGGTCATAACTGATCGGATCATATTTATATATATTTTTACTTCAAATTTACCCGTCTTTTCTTAGTTAGTTCCTTATATTTTTGAGCTATTTACGTTATTTTTGTGTTTATAGGATTTGTTATGCAAAGAAAATAAAAATAGAATAAGTGAAATTTTATTCGTGAAAAGCAAATTAAAATTACAATATTGCTAACTCATTGTGACGCTAAATGATAAACCAATATTTAAACTTTATATTTCATCATTTTATATTTCATCATTTTATATTTCTTTTCTTGTCTAATTTATTTGGAAGCTTTAAGTATTTATGATACTTTTGATATATTGTGTTTGTAGGAGTAACATGATCCAAAGAACTTATTTTTCTGCTATGTGGGGCTGCTAGAAACTAAATGAAAATAAAAGGAGAGCATCGGGAGGAGAATATAGAGGAAAGCAAGCTGCCTTTGCAGCTGGAGGAAAGCAGGTCAGCGACAAAGGGATCCAAGGAAGTCAGAAGAATTAGGGGACAGCAACTGGCAAAGCAGAGGAAATGGAGGAGTCCACACGGGGGACGGAAAAAAAGAATCCAAAGAAGGGGAGAGAGACTGGCAAATCAGAGAAATAGAAAGAGGGGAATAAAAGCAGAAGGGAAGACAGGCAACAAGGGGGTCTGAGGAGCGGGAGAAAGGGGCTGCCCCTTGGGCAGCTTGCAGAGACGCAGGAACGAGAGGCATTAGCCTCGGGAGAGTGAAACCGAGAGAATAAAAAGGCTGCTTGGGCAGCGTGATCGAGAGAGGAATAAGCTGCCCAAGGCAGCATGGCAGAGAGAGACGTGCGGAGAGAGAGAGCCGAGCTGCCCATGCAGCTTTGAATAAGACGTGCAAGGTGCGGGGAGTCCAAGGGCAGCGTGAGCTGCGAAGAGAATTGAGGGCAGTGAGGCTGCCAGGAAAGAAAAAAAAGAAAAGAAAAAAAAAGATAGAAATAAAAACAGAAGGCTGACGGGGCAAGTGATGACGCAGTAAAGCTGCACAGACTGGCACTGAAGCACTCTTTCCTCTTTCGGTTAAATCTTTCCAAACTTCTATTTTATTTTTGTTTTAATAATGTGTAATTAAATTTATTTTGGCTAGAGGTTAATTCAAAGCCATGAATATATTTGTAATATGAATTGATTACCTTCGGTTGTGATTTCATAAGTTGTGATTTCAATTTACTTATCCGTTCGTATAAAAACTGATTTGTGTATGTTGGTTGAGAGTGCACGCTTAATTTACATGCATGAATTTGATGCTAGAATATAAGTGAATTTCACCTAATCGTTATGAACTTATTTTCACAAGTAGTAAAGGTTGCTAGTCACAATCACGTTAAGTAAATTCTTGGCAAGAGTATCATGCTTTTCATAGTTACGAATGCCTCGTCAATGCTTATAGTTTTCACAAAGTTTAATGATCTTTGATTGTATCTCTATTGTGCTTTTCACGTAGGGGACTTTTGAAGAATGTTTTGAATTGTTGTATGCGTTTTCCCGTCCAATTCAATAACTTAAGGAAAACTTGAAGATTAAAAAAAAGTGCTGTTCACGGTTAATCTGGAGTATTGAAATTCACAATTTATTGAAAGAACAACTGAAAATTA